TTAGACTTCAGCAAAGGATTTGACACTATTACCCACAGCATTCTCCTGGAGAAACTGTCTGCTCATGGCTTGGACAGGTGCAGTGTTTGCTGGGTATGGAATGGTGTGATGGGTCTGAATGGGTGATGCCAAAGAGTGGCATCAAATGGAGTTAAATCCACTTGGCTCACGATTGCTGCTGGTGTTCCCCAGGGCTCAGTCTTGTGTTCAGTCTTTTTTAGTGTCTCTATCTGGGTGAGGGTGTTGAGTGCACCCTTAGTCAGGTTGTAGATGACACCAAGTTGGGTGGAGGTGTTGCTCTGCTGGAGAGAGGGAAAGCTCTGCAGAGAGATTTGGACAGGCTGGATCAATGGGCCAAGGCCAAATGCATGAGGCTGAATAAGGCCAAGTCTTGGGCCCTACCCTTGGGTAGCAACAGCCAGTGCTACAGACCAGAGGCAGAGTGGATGCAAAGTGGAAAAAAACCTGGAGGTCTGAGTGACAGCGGCTGAACACGAGCCAGCGCGTGCCCAGGCGGCCAAGAAGGACAATGGCATCCTGGAATGTTCCAGAAATATCATGGCCAGCATGACCAGGGCAGTGATTGTCCCCCTGTGCTGGACACTGGTAAGGCCACACCTTGAGTCCTGTGTTCAGTTCTGGGCCCCTCATGACAGAAAAGACACTGAGGTGCTGGAGCGTGTCCAGAGAAGGGAACAGAGCTGGTGGCAGCTCTGGAGCACAAATCTGATGAGGAGCGGCTGAGGGAGCTGGAGATGCTTTGGCTGGAGAAAAGGAGGCTCAGGGCAGACCTTATTAGTCTCTACAACTGCCTGAAAGGAGGCTGTAGCCAGGTAGGTGTTGGTCTCTTCTCCCAAGCCACAGGACAATAGGATAGGGCTTCAAATTGTGCTGCAAGAGGAAAAAAAATACTAGGAAAATTTTTTTCAGGCTGCCCAGAGAAGTGGGTGAGTTACCACTCCTGAAGGTATTTAAAAGGTGTGATGTGCCACTTAGGGACAAGGTTTAGTGGTGAACTTGGCCGTAGTGATTTAACAGTTGGACTCAATGATCTCAGAGGTCTTTTATAATCTAAATTAATCTAAACAACATCTTGTAGCTAATTTGTCCACTTAGGGTTACCTTGTCTCAGAGTAGAGAGACATAAAGAATCACAAATTATTTTTATTAGAGAAAGTGACTTAATTGGCTCTACCACATAAAAGAATCAAGCTAGTAAGGTGTTCAGAAGAAATGGAGCAGGTGTCATAATTGTAAGACATATATTTGATTTGTACCAGGGGAATTCTGAGAAAAAGAAAACTATGCATAACCTAACACAAAATTTAAGAAACACAGGAAACTGCATGGACATATTCTTGGAAAGCAAGGGTTTTGTCCCTATGTATCTGCCTCCATCTGATGCAAAGTTAGTGAATCAGCATTAGTGAATCTTGATTAAAAAATTTTGGCCTTATGCTTGACTGCATCACTCCCAGTCCCTTCTGTTTCACTTATATCTCCCTACACTACTGAAAGAAAAGGGACAAAAGCATATCTAAACACAGTATTTATCCTTTGACTTAAAATCAAAGCACTTGTAACTAAAAACCAGGGAAAGGGAGAGAGGAATGGAGCAGTGGGGGTGTCTTACTATCAGTAACTGGAGCACTTTCTGCATATTTCCATTCCAAGCTGAGCTGAATACTCTCACGTTCTTGCTATTAGACCCATTTATTTCAAATTTCTCTTGAATGCTGCTGAAATCCATGGACAATTCCTGTTCATTTCCAGGCCTTAACTATATTTATTTTTCTGTCTAGTGGTATTAAAGTACTAGAATCTAAATTTTCTAAAACACACTCTTTGTGATGCCTAGATCTTGTTTCATGTCCTACTTTATCTTGGTATCTAGAACAATTAAGAAAGGAGAGCACAGATAATGATGGTATTGCTTTCAGATAGGAATGGAATAAAATCCCCTTTGGATTATCTTCTTGATACAGTTCAGGAATGTAGTTTTGCCTATTATGGAAACATGGCAGATTTTGGTGTTTGTAGGTTTATTTCAGACTTACACAACTCACAGATTAAATCAATGTTTACTATAGTAAATGGTATGTAACTGATGGAAACTAATTGCAGTGTCTCATAGACAATGATTGCTGTTTTGATCTTTATTTCTTAATTTTTGCCTATCACTGCAGGACACTGGGATTTCCGTTTTCATGATAAAACAAGATTCACTGTTTCTTAAATTCCCGGTGGTGTACTGCCTAATAACTTTGCATCAGGGCTTCAGGTATTGCCCAGCTCTTATTATCATGGTGTTAAAGAGATGCCCTGAAAAATGAGCAGAATTTTATAAAATCTCTGAAACCTTAAATTTAAGAGATTCATGTACTTAGATCCCTACATAATCCAGCAATCATTACTCTTTTCCTGCTATATGTGGCAGGTAGATGGAGGCAATTGGGCTAATTAAAACACAGCATCAAAACACTGAGTCTGTTTAATGTATTTTTTTAAAACTTCTGTTGTTAATCCTGTGTGTAAACTGTAATTTATTTCCTTTTCTCTCTATGTGTTAGACTGAATAGGATAAGTGTTGTGCTAAAGTGTTTGTGTTATGTTGATAAGGTTGGATTCATAGCTATGAGGCTGTTGCACAGCAACGAGTGTTTTATCTTTATGACACTACAGTAATTTTTGTATGTTATACTCAAAATGCTAAAAGGGATGGTAGAGGAAGGAATAGAGATTTGCTTTCAGTTTTCATTTTTTTCAGTAATTTTGTGTCTTTTCAAAATGGTCTAAACCATGTTATACTTCCTGTCAAATTTTATTAAAAAATAATGCCCAGAACTTCATACTAATTAGCTGATTGGGGGCATGAAATTTTCTTTATGTTCATCTATTTTTATTTTTGTTTACTTTTGAAGTATGAATGGGATTGAAAATCCTTCCACTAAAAGGCAGATGGAGATAATTGAACCTTTTTCATGCAGTCCCAGGTAGAAATCAAATCCAAGACCCAGAGGTAAAAGGTGAGCTCTGTAACTACTATACCAAAATATTCTTGGCAATTATCAGCATGAGAATAACTATTAACATTTCAATTATACTCGCAGTATTACATCTCTCCAAGGGGTTTAACTTCACTGATTTTCAACTTGTCTTATTTTTTTGGTAGACATCCAGTTGGAACAAAGTTGCTGGATAATATTTTTGACACAAAAGGGTAACATGTTTTTCAAAATACAGGATCTATATTCTCTGTCCTCAGTGACACTTGTATGCTTCCAGATTTTGATTGCTTGGTAACACTGCTTGGCATATTGGGTAGATTTAAATAGATTTAATTAACACAAGAAATCAAAAATTATGCAGAAAATAAAAAACTGTATCCAAACTCTTCTCTTGTAAAATATATAGTTTGAAATTGAGAACAATTAACAATAATTAATCCTTTAATTTTAAAATGTTATTCACTCTTTGTCTGTTGTTTAATAATTTTTACATATGTTTCTTAAAATTTATTTAGCCAATGTATGAAGCCAAAAAATTTATCTATTTTAAAATATTTTGTTGTTATGTATCTAAATTTTTTCTGAGCATTCAGTCTTAAAATGCTTAGTAAAAGGATTTATGATCAGTGGGAATCACATGAGATGTTTCTGTGCCTTTATGAATTCTATATAATCATCTTTAGTGTTTGTATATTATGGTTGAGTTATTTACTGGGTATGTGAGCATCTCTGAGTAAAGGTGCTGTAATATTCTGTATTTCTGGAAGTGGTACTTTCAGTAAAGGCTTATTAGAGAGACCAGCCTATCTGGGAGAGAAATGGAGACTTCAGCTTGAGGACTGAGAATAGCAGCAAAAGTGACTCCCATCCTAGAGACATGTGAATCAGCTCAAAGCAAACTAAACAAAACAACATTAAACAGCAGCAAAGGCAGCACCCTATAACCCTGCTTCTCATCACATGGGGTGTGAAAGAAACCTTGCTTAACAACTGTAAAATCCTTAAATCTTCACCAAAAAAAAAATGGCAAATGTCCAACAGGGCTGTAAAAGAAAATACTATAGTAAGCCTGTACTGATACTCTATGGCCATTTAAATATTTTTCTGTAAGATCCATCCTTTTTAAGGTTATAAGCTGATATAAACTACTGATGCATGGAAAAATATGCTATAGCTTTTGAAGACCTTCCCTGCCTCCCTCATCCAAAACCAGAATGTCTTTAGATACTATAAAAAAGTGTGCTTTTCTGAAAAGATAAACATTTGTCAGTCAAGTCAACAGGTAAAAAGAATCACTATAATGGGGAATACCATTTCCCGCTATAGTAGGGGCTTGAGATATTTTGCAAATATTAGTGCCATGCAAAACTTCAAAAACAACCATACTATTCAGCTCAAAACAAGAAAAGGAAACAAACAGATAATCTATAAACATGTAAGCAGCTCTTTCGAAGAAAGACAATCAAAATTAACTCAATGCAGTTCTACAGCAGAGTGGTAAAAGATCACTAGGAGGAATGTAAAAAATTTAAAATTCCAGGTAGAATTTTCATTATTGAATGATCATATAATTATCATAAAATATCAGAATTATTTATTATTTTAATGGAATAACTTTGTCAAAAAATGAAACAAAATCCAAAATTCTATATAAAAATGCTTAGGTGCCATAACTGTGGTTCAACAATTAATATAAAATTTCCAAGATGATGTTAAGGAACAAAAATGTCTTCTGGGCACATTATACCCAGAAAAACACTTTGGAGTAAAACTATCTGCTAATTTTGCCCACACTGCCTGCAGGTACAGGGTGCTATAAAACAGAGGATACTACAAGGAACAATGAAAAGGAGAGATAAGGGTCAGAGATAAACATCTACAGTAACACCAGTGAGAGATACTGTGGGGATACTATTACAGGAAATAAAATCTGAGTTTTTTTAAATGGGGGTGGAAACTGATAATTTTAGTGGATGTTTATTCATGGATGTTGCTGAGTAGGAAGTAAGTCAGAATACATTCTGTTATTTTATATTACTGACACAAATGCTAAAGAAAGACCCTGTGAATGGGATACATTTCTATTTGTCTCACCAGCAGAGGGGTGATTCAATGTCAGATGCTTCAAAAAAGTGATACATTTATTTCCAAAACCCAGTAATCATACTAAAAGCACATCTCCAGAGAACTGAGATATTTTTGACTCAGCTATGAACACATTCACCACCTGAGTAAGATTTGCAACTAAAAGTAGTGAAGGCCAGATAACTTAGTTACTTATTAGTGTAGTTCAAAAAAACTTACAGCATCTTTTCTCCTTCCCCCAAGGCCAACCAACCAATACTGCCTTGTCTATGATAAAACTCACCTGGTGATAGCCAGAAACATTCTTCATGTTTATTAGTACAAAATACTTATTGTCACAACTTCCTGCCCTCTGTACTATTTAGCAAACTAGGCAAGCATTTATTGAAAAACATTAAGCTGATAACTTGTAATTGTAATTTATAAAATAAGTTGAATGAAAGAAAAAATTGTGTGAGTGTGAAGGATTAAAAAATCTGTGAGAAAAGGGTTTAGAATATTTTTATGGGAAATAAACAGTAACACATGCAAAGCTGTTTTGTCTGCAAAAAAACACAGGCCAGTTCACAGAAAATTTCTTGATCATTGCAACAGAGAATTGGAGTTTGGATGAAAGTGATTATACCTCTGTTTCTCTAAATTTGAAAAATACTTGGTTAGCCCTAATTTCCCTGAAATAAATTTATTAGAAAAAACTGCAGCTAGAGAAGTGATTATCTATCTCAAATCTATTGTCCACTGCCATCCACAGGTCTATTGCCTGCCCACACTATTATGGGCAGGAAGTCAAGCAGCTGGCAGAGCTGTGCAGTCTCACATACATATTGGTGCTCCTGATCATTCTCAGCCTACCTACCCAGGGAAAATGGTGAATAAAATTGTGTTTAAACAGTGCCCTGACACACATTGCCTACTGTGTTTTTGACTGATTAAATTACAGCACATTAGCACTACATGAACATTCATCCTGAACCTGCTGAAAATGGGAGACATGAGCTGCAGAACCATTTGATGGTGACTTTGTAATGAAATTGGAACATATACACAGAATATATGACCATTTCATGGCTGTAGTCCTCTTTCTCTCTCCTGACAGAGAATGCATGCTCACCCCTTGGTCCACCATCTGTGTGTGAGTGTGATGCTGCCTGTCTCTGCAGTGCCCATGCTTAGGAGAATGTTGCAGAGTTGCTGTACTCCAGATGGAGAAGCTGCACTGTCCCCTAAACTGATTCATGAGATGAAGGTCAGCAAGGATCTGCTAAGAAAGAAGGCCAGAGGTAAATTATAATGATAGGGATCTGAAACAGAGGAAATGGAGCAAATGGACTGGCTATTTCTTAATAATAATGACATGTGATGGGTAGGTTTTGAGTGCATTGGCTGTTCACACAAGGCACCACACAAGGCACTTCAGGCTGTCCTAAAAGTTGTTAAGAAATTCAGTTGATAGTACAGGTAGCTTATAGTTTATTTTATCATATTCACATCTCTTTTTCTTAATGACTTTTTTTTTTTTTTCTCAGAATGGACGTTGTGACACCAGAACTTCAACATCTAAAATGACTGGGGGTAAATGGTGCTATGGAAACCTGTTTAGTTACAGCTCCCTAGAAATAGTTAAAGTCTTTTGCAAGAATTGTTTTACAAGGCCCAACTGGCTAGTGCAGAAGAAGGAGTGAAGTTGTTATGTGATCTTCAAGAGTAAGACTTTGGATTGAAAAATCCAAAGGGAGGGAGTGAATGGTACAGAAGAAATGTTGTCTTAGCTGCTTGCAGTTGGACAGCATGTAGAGGAGGGAGTGAGACATGCTAGAAGGGTAGCTCTGTATTAGAAGACAACAGAATAATGTAATGGGGCTATAATGATAACAGGAACAATGCTCTCATTTTCTTTATCCAGATGGTGGAAATAGATGAAGAATAAGGTCAGAGTTGAATGTATTCCCTTGAGTGAGAATCTGATGAAAATGAGAAGTCTAATTCCAGGAACAGGCAGTGTAATTGAAGTACAGATGCTTCTACAGGGTGCAGAATAGTGATTCTTTCAATCCTTCACAATCATACTCCTGATCTTCTGTCATGTATATGCATAAGTGGGTGCATGTATACAAATGTGCATGCACAGTAGGGATGTGCACTGTCATAACTATTTGTTTCCAAGCAAATATCTCAAGCAAAGATAATTTTGCACAGTAGGAACACCCTGTGTTAACAGAAACCTCTACAGATTTAATAGAATCAGCAGGTTCTGCCTGCACTGCACGTGAGGTGCAGCAACAGCTCCTTGGGAGCTGAGCATCCCATGCCTTTGCTTCTTATACCCTCTCTTGCACCTGATCCTGGAAAGTTCAGCTCTGAAAGGATGTTCTTTTCTAATCTCTTGGGAGATTAGAATTGTACTACTTATTTATTCCCTCTTTCCTACTACTGTGTTTTTTAAAGTATTTGATTCCTAACTCTTTTTGGTTTCATATAGTAGCACAAATATAGTGCTAGTGTATAACTGAGGATGGAGAGCTTCATCATTCCCCTCCACCGTATCCAGCAAAAACAGGTCCCAGAGCAACTGAGCATTTGAAAACCTGAAGAAAACGACCTACTTTTCCTTCTATAACTCATGTTATTTCCAATGGCCTGTCAAAAAAACATGAACACCAAAACCAAATCAAACCAAACCAAACCAAACCTGAAAACCAAACCAACCAATAAATGAACCAAACAAAAACCACCAAAACTCACCCAAATATAAGAAATAGGGCCATAATCCTATCTAACATAGACTGTCATTCTATTGCCTTAAGCATATTTCAAAGCATGTGATGATCTTGTGCTAGGACTCCTAGTCAGAGCAAGAAAGGACACCTACCTGTTTTTGACAAAACTTCACTGTTTTCAGTTGGTTTTGCACTGGTGGTGGCTGAAAATCTGCCTGTTGGTAGCAACTGATGTGAAGAAGCTCATTATTTGCTCTGATATTTCAATATCTTAGTTTTACAACAACCAACCAAGCTATCTCCCTTGTTCTGTCATTGTCACAGTGGATATTTTGATGACATTATGTCATTTATCAACACAGAAGCAAAGAGTGCAGGTAACTAACAGAATGTGTCCTGCTGTTAGTTAGTTGCTGCTCCAGATGGTTTGGCTATATGTCCATGTGCAAGCTGGACTTTTATAACACTTATTTATTTATGTGTTATTTTTCATCATGAAGCAGCAATATATTCAGAAATGACAACAAGTGATCTACCTTTATAAATAAAAGGATGAAAACTGTATCTCTGTATGATTGGAGAAACATATGGAGGTACCCAGAGCTCTCTGCTCTTCCCATTGCCATTGACAGGAACTGGTGGTGTTCTAGGTATTTGTTCCTAAACACAAAATCACAAAGAGTCTTGTCATGGAACTACACTGAATGAAGACATACAGCAAAATTCAAGTAAGAATAGTTATCTTAATTTTTTTCTAGTTTCAACTAATTCTTCTGTACAAAAAAGGTATTTAAATAACATAGACTGTAAAAGCAGCAGCAACCAGCCAGAGTGTATGTGTATAGATATTCTCTAATATAAATTAGTGCCTTTTAAAAATCATGGTAAACTCTGTTTTCTGTAATTATAACCAACCCTAGAGTTTTACCCATGTAATAGTAATTTTTAGTGTCTTCACCATTATTTTCCTTTTTATATATTTAACTACAACTAACTTGAGCAGACAATGTTAAGTGGGGAAACAGATGTGGTTAAATAGCCTGTAATTATGCCTTTAGTCATCTCTTACCATCACAAGGCTCCTCCTGCTACTATGACCAGAAAAAGTGACCTAACTGATTTCACCAGCAGCCCTGCCAGTGTCTGATGCAGAATAGATGGCCTTATTAAGCAATCAGAAAAAAAAATAAATAAAAATCAACCATTATAGTGGAATAGTAATCAGCAGTGTTTATACTAGTCCCACAATGCACAATCAAAACCATGAATTCTGCTAATTGGGTACCTTTTGCATCCAGAGGTGCCTGCAATAGGAAACAAAAGGAACTTGAAAATTAATGTTTGTAGCAATTAGTTTCTGTCTAAAGGCTTAGCCCAGTTCATGGAAGCCATGATTCAAACACAGATTATTATAGTAAGTATGGTATTTAAATGTCCTTTGTCATTATTTAGCATCAAATTTAGCATTGCAAGACTAATTTGGATTTACTTTTTAAAATATGTTTGTAGGGAATTTTTAAAGTCCCCAAGTGCAAACCATTTATTTTTTGCTTTTTTATGTTGTTAACTTTTCAAGACTAACAGTCCATTTCAGATTCACTGTAGAGCTGATTAAATGTGTTTGCTATTGAATAGATGAGATTTACAAATTACATATTGAAGCATGTTGGACTATTATTTTTCACAGAATGATCTATGCTTTATGGCATATTGAGGGATTTTATACTTCATAGAAATGTAAGGACTGGAAGTTTATTATTTATAAACACAGCTACAAATTCACACCAGTGAGTAGTGGTATACAAATTCTTAAGAAGAGAAATTTAGGTATGCAATTTTTGGAGTAAATTATTAGTGCTTTTTCAGATGGACTTCAGTGAAAGCTCAGTGGATTACGTTAAGCTAGTTGTACCTTTAACCCTTTTCTTTCCTTCGAATCTTTAGCATTTCTTATGTAATAATCTGATAGACCTCTGTTCTTCAGTCCTTACCACTACAGACTCCCTCTGTAGGTGCTTAAAGGACAAATTAACAGTAGAACAATTCAAGTAACCTCTTCACCTTTGTATCTAAGAATCAGCTGCATGTTCTTGCTTTGCTAAAGGTGTCCATACGGTTACAGCAGGACTGTGACAATAGCATACAAAGATGCCTAGAATTCAGGAAAAAAAACCTCAGGAAGATATATGAAAAGAGAGGGAAAAAGTCTTTAAGTCAACCCTGTCTTAGTTCTTCTGTTTAAAGGTTACAATGAAAGAACGGAAATGTATCATCTGCAATTTATTAATAAGTTGTCACCCTCATTAGTTAACTACTGTTTAATCAGTATATGATTAACTGTGTGACCTTAAAAAATTGTTATTAATACAAAACATTACATTATGAAACCATTAAGTTATAGGAAAATATTGGTACTTTGAAGACAATCAGAATGTTAAGTGTGATAGTTTTTAGAGATACTATACCAACATTTCCTCTGACTGATTGCATTACATATTGATAGCAAGTATCAGTATGTAGTGCAATCAGTCAGTGGAAAATGAGTGAAATGTGAACTAATGAGAGCTAATTGTCTCATATAATAGCAAGGACACAGAATTCTATCAATTAAATTAGTCTGAGTTGAAACAACTATCAGTGTAATAGTGTTGATAATATCAACCAAATTAGATGTAATGAAATAAATTGTATGCTAAAGATCAAGGATACCCATTGGCTTCAACCCCCACCTCCTGCTAACTAGGGAGAGAGCCTCACGACTTTGGGCTCAGTTTGCTTCGAGTTCTGGCTAATGCACAGCCTGAAACATATTCTGTGCTCAGGGCACTGGTAGTGGAGACTTTGTTTTAATTATTGCAATTTGTACCTGGCAAATGGGGGAAGCCTTCTGTGAGGTTGAGGCAGTGAACAAATAGTAGTGGTATGACATTAAAGACTATTGCTAACTTCAGCACAGCTGTGGGTGAGAGCAGGTGATGTGGTGGGTGAGAAGCGCTGGCTTGGGCACACCAGGTGTTGGACCCTTTGTTTTTTCCTTTGGAAACTACCACAACTCAACATCTGTATCTTGTGATCAGTAACAATCTCATAGTGCTCAAACACCACTTTCACTCCCTTTGCTTAGTCCCAGTCCTCCCACTTGCTCTTAGGCATGGCTTCCAAATCTATTCCAAAGTTGTTCAGAGACAACTAAATCACATGGGGACTGAATGATGAGGACTAGGATTCTCAAAGAGATGCTGAGAATACAGCAGCTCTCATTGAGGCTGAGGGAAACACTGGGATCGGCGCTCTTTCAGCCCTGATATTAGGAATTCAAATGGAAATAGAAGCCTAACATTACCCACTTCTGGGCTTCCAGCCTCTGAAATTTCTGCTTTGCTCCGTATTGCTGTTTCACATCCTCATTCCCAGTTTTAGTGATTCTGTGATCTAATTCTTGGGACCACGAGAAGCTCATTAAAAGTCAAGTAAATCCATCAGTCACTCCTGTAACACAAGCTGGGATTATTAACAACATGAATTCACAAAATTAATAGAGAACATTGATCTGGGTTTATGCAGTAATGCAGAAAGGCATTTAATTTCATATAATGGTCCTGGTAACGTGAGCAGTTCCAATCCCCCCTAGAAACATAATCTGATAGAATAAAAAAACCCAAACAGAAATGGAATGTTCCATAGACAGTGACTTTTTGAAGTTTAAAAACTTTGTGATGCAATGAAATATTGTCTGTAAATCCCACTTTCTGCTCTAAGGCCTTTGGACCATGCTGTCATGCAAGAGTTTGAGCATGGCTCACACAAATAAACTCACACATAGAGGGCAGACAAAAGAACCACAGAAGCAAGGGGGCAGATAAACTCCGAGGTTGGCAAAGCAAGAGAGATCAAATGCATGCAACTTCAGAAGCAGAGAGAAGTAATGATAAAAAGGTCTGTGTGGCCAGACTTACCACAGGTAATAGTTTGCACTTGTGCAGTGTTCACTTGGCCAACCTGTAAAGTTACTCACAGTCTAAGACAACAGAAACACAAAAAATTCAGAGGTACTACCCAGGTACTGCTACTACTTGTGATGTGTGCTTCTCTGAAAATGCAGCTCAGGAAAGCATTGTAGAGAGACAATGCCCCAGCAAAACTGCAAAATGTGGCTGATGGCTTCCATGCTGATCTTGTGAAAATTCGCAACTGTGTATGAATATTTAAACTGGCCATTTGTGACTGGATGAAGGGATTTTTTTTTTATCCATTACAAAGTGTTACAGCTGAGCCATCTTACTGATATCCCTTTCAAGAAAAAATCATCTCCTTGATGAAAAAATCATCTCTATGATCACAGGAAGCAAATGCTGACAGTATCTCCGTGGTATAGACAGCTCGTGTTCAAAGGAGGGGAAGGCACCTGAACCATCCACAGTGCTGAAACCACATAACTGAAAAATCATAATCGCCCGCTAACTGCTTTCTTTATTTGTTATTTAGAAAGCACTTGACACCTCTTATCTCCAAGGTTTTAGGGGGATGCTGGCAGATTCAACAGCATGCCACTGAACTCACCACAGGCCTCTATCATCAGTATCAAACTACAGTGAGAAGAACAAATGAGAAGGAAGTATTCCATTGGACTGGGCATTAAAAAATGCAATTTCAGCACGAATATTAAGTTTATTTTGAACCTCCTGTGAAAAAATTTTGAAAGCTGGAAGGACCAGGAGTTTCCAGTGGTATGGCTGTCTTAACTGTTCTCTGATACATAAACAACATTGTATTTTGTACTGCAGTGACAGATGCAATACAGTCAGTTCTGGAGATCAGAATGGGCAAATAACCAGGGACATGAATCATCCTGAATATGTTGGAAAAGACAAGCACATACACTGACATAAGTCCTCAAGATAAATGCTCTTTAGTAGTAGAAATACAGTCAAAGAAAAAGGGACTCTCAAGAATTAGTTGAGTATCTTAAACTTTGTATGAATTGAAAAATATTCAGGAAAGAAATTAGGGAAGCACTAAGGGAGTAACAACATAAGGAAGGCTAGTCAACATGAAGATCAGACAGACAATGGATAGACTGATGAGATCACAAAGATCTCATAGAATCTTAACAGAAGAAAGAGAATCCTCTGGAAACTGCTACAACATCATCACAGGTCATGTTTGAATATGCAGATGTACTTCCTGAAGTTATAATAATCAGTGAGTGAATAAATTTGTTAGCTAATTCTCATAATACATAAGGATGAAAGAAATATTTAAATTGTATAAATAATTAAATTGTAAATTTAAATTTCAAGTTTAAAATGTATAAGTAAATAGTGGAGTCTTACATGTGATTACCAATGGCTGCTTTTGGTGGATCTTTCAGTTCTTTTTTTTCCTTCTATTTTTCATTTAGCAGGATCTCATTTCATTTACCTTACCCATTTTTTGGGTTGCAATTAATTTTATCCCCCTCATCTGTTAATAGACTTTCTTTCATATGTACTTACCCAGCCATAAAAGCCTTTTTAAGCCTCACAAGCCTCTTTTTACTTATTCTGGATTTGATGGTAATGCTACACTATGTGTTCGATAATTTGTTATGTTGCCCCAGGAGCAGGTCAGGTAATTAAGCAAGACTTGGAACTCTGGTCTCCCTCTGCGCTCTGCTCCTGAAGACAGGGTTGGATTGTGGCTGTGTGCCTCCAGTGTAACCAGTAATTTTGTCTGAAAAAACAGAGGGAAAAGCATTTGGCATATACAGTGACTGATTTCTCTGCTGATTTGCATGCAGGTGATGGGTCCTGCTCTCCACACCAAACTTTTTGCTGCACAAGAGAGCAACATGTCCCAGGTAGTGTAATACTTTGCTGTTTCTGTGAGTCTCAGCTTCAATGTTTTTAATTTTCTTAGCCTTGAGCTAAGAGAGGAAGTCTCAGTGCTGTGGTGGCCAGCAGACACATAAATACTGGCAAAATGTCAGGGTCAGGCAGCCTGGGCTGGGAAACAGCATCACGCCTGGTGCATAATCAGTGGAATAACATCCTTCTACTTTTTGTATTCACATGTCAGCTTTCTCTAATTAAGTAAATATGTTCTAGACTGGTTTGCTAAGGAAATGGCCCTTCTAGGATTTTACTGCATATGTGTGTGTGTACACATGTCTCTGCCTACATTGTAGTTATTTCCTTTCTCCCTTTCTCTTTTTCCCTCTCCTCTATAATTTTTCAGCCTATTCTTCAAATCCAATCACACAGATACAGAGAATCTGAAGATGTTCTGAACACAGATGTTCAGGTAAGGAAAATAGATACCTTTTTATTTATGTCTTACTGTTTTGTTTTCAGATGGCTTCTGACTGCTGTTTCTGTATTTTTCTCTATGGATTAACACGGTTTCTTCTGAGTAATAAAAGTTTGTAACTTGAGAACCTCTTTAATACACATGTATTGTATTTGTTATCCAACAGAGACACGGAGGTCAGGTTTTCTCCATGATGGCTTTTACAAGCTGGAGAAATAATTATCCTTCCTTGACCCTGTGTGCTTTGTAGTCAGAGCTGTTTTTTCTCTCCAGGTTTGCTCAGTGTGTGCCATTCCAAATGCTTGGTGGGGCAGGAAGATTGCCATATGTGGCCAGTGGTCTGCCCTTGCACAAAATTCACCCTGTTGCACTGTATAAAACCCTAAAGTACTGACCACTCACCTGGTGAGACTTGCAGGGCAAACTAGTGGGATGAGTTAATCTGCAGGAGGAAAGAGGACAAACTAGTTGGATATTTTCTCCATAGTTAATACCAGTCAAAAATGATGGTATAGAAATGTGTCAGATTATTTATCAAAATATAGGAAAATATTCTAGGTAATCTTTATTTGGCTATTTCTATTTTTTGCCTCTCTTCTTCTGCCCTGAATGCTTTTGTGAAAAAAACCCAGCAGTTATGACATCTGAACATGATGAATTTAAGGACCTAAATATATGCTATTGTCCACAACTGTAACTGCTTTCAAGTAACCTTCACATTTGGTTGCTTCTATGTTTTATCATGTATGTTGTGGCTCTTTTTTTCCCCTCCCTTTGCTTTTGTATTGCTTTAAAAAGACAACAGAACATGCTGTGAGTTAATGTTTCACTTGTAAAAGGTTATGGATTAAGCTCAGCTGGTTTCTCAGGCTGACACAGGGTTCATGATTAGAAGAATGAAAACAAACATGAATTGAAAATGTCACTAACCTTTATTGGGCCCTGAAAATCCCTGAGCCTGCATGACAGGAGGCTTTCCTGTTTTCAACAGGATAAAAAAGATTGAAACAAAACAGCACGGATCTTGGCTATTTACATCTTTTAATGAATGCTCTTCACGTTTGGGTCCCTTTGTCAATCTCCCAGTTTTCAAGGGTTTAGCTGTGAAAAGTGCGGATGGTATCACATACTCTTATAAACCATGGAGTAGACATCTGTCTAGGATGCTTTTCCCTCCAAATTAGGCTGAGTGTAAAGGACCACATTTTAAGATTCATTTACGACTATACATGTATAAGGTAGCCAATTATCCAGTCTGAGTGTTCAGCAACACAAAAGCTGAATAAAACCATCTCTACATAATACAATCAATTTTATTTTAATAAAGTAGATAAGAGAAAAAAAAATCATAAACTCTAGATGATAGTGCAGTTTGAACTTTTAAACTGTTTATTGAAAAAAAAAAACCAAAAACAACCAGCCTATTCACTTAACAAATAATGAGTTCTTGCTCTAGTTACTGTGGTAGAACATGCCCTGTATTAGCAAGGGTAAGAGGAACACAAAGCCAACATCAACTGGCTGGAGTGGAAACCAAAACTGTCATAGATCTGGGATCCTTTGTTCTGTCAAGAGCACAGATCCAGGTTGAATACCTTAGATCTGCAAACTGAAGGAGACTATTGCATGTTATGACTGCCCTTCTTTGGTACTAGCTCTTCCAAATTTTATGGAAGAGTCAAGCATCATATTTGCCCTCACAGACCCAGATATTCCCTGCTTCCTTATTACCTCACACTGCTCAGCTGATTTTTTACAGTCAAATCACTGAAAACACAAAAGAATTAGCAAATATTTTTTAATCTAAGAAGAACAAAGCTATATGTTTTCCTTCATTTTAATTTTTTCTAGCTGCATGTTTTAGGAACAGCTGTACCATTGCTTCACTGATTTCATAGGTAACCTGAGAAAATACTTTATAGAGGAAGAACACCAGGGGATCCTGTGGCCAAATCTATTTCCTTCTCCTGATCTATAAATGTCTGGTAGATATGGAATTTTTGCCTCACAAAATCACATTTACCTTTTTTACAAAGTTGAGTGAGGCAATATAGACCCACACTTGGTACATAATTATTTAACATATCCTACTATTTCATGGTGCTACTCTGACCTGTAACTGAGATTTAATGAAGTGCTTTGGCAGAGAATTGATATTAGGGGGAACAAACCTGCAATTTTTTAGTCCCACTTCATCCAATTATAGCTTGTTCTTACATTACATAATCTATTTTACAGTTTTCGGAGTAGAGGCAAGAGTGAGATCTTACAATATTTAATGAGGTCCAAAGTTTTCTATCTCTAGCTATTTTAGTCTTTTGCAAATACTGAGGGAAGTAATATTTGATAAAATTTCCTATGGATTCGTAATAATTTAGAACCCTAATCCACAGCTTCAAATCAGCCGAGGACTCAGTTTCTAATGCTATGTGGACATGTGAGTTCTATTTATTGAAAGTCATAAACCAAATTAAGTGAGTTAACTGAAAATGAAATAAATAAAACTAGAGTTTTGGTTCCTTAAACAGCTGAGCTGAGACTTACCAAGGAGGACTTATAAGGCAGCATCCAACTTCCAAATGTCTTGCCACACACTGAATATACATCAACAATCCCACATTCTCTGGATGAAAAAATTAGGGAGCAGGGTGAAGAGCAACCATAATTATCCTTGGGAAGAAATACTAAGGAGCATTAAGGACATGACTGGCAAATGAGTATCATGCCTTGCCAGTTCCTAAATTACCTTTCTGCCCCTTGTCCAAAGTCATCTTGGAGAAGAGGAACATGTGTCTCTATAACCTTGTAAATCCATAAGTACAAGCAAAGGGTGAGGTGTGTCTCTGATGTGCTTCTGCAGAACAGGCAGCTTGATGCAGTTTGATGGTTAAGATGCTCAGGTGGAATACAGAAATACAGAAGTCTAAGGGGGATTTGATCCTGCCTGATCCCAAGGAAACACTTGTGATACTACTACTACTACTACTACTGGCTGAGATGAGAAGGGTTGGAATGAGGGAATGGCCACATTTCTTCTGAGGTTAGACATCCTCGGGCTATATCTGACATGTCAACTCTTGAGGGTGAAGTAAGTGGTAGAACACTTATTCTGGGAATATGAGTACATTTAGATGTGAGATAGACATCAAACTGCTGAGTACTTTCAGGACCTGAGCACTTCTGCTCATTCTTTGTGCAGAAACTCCGTCTCCTATATTTCTCTTGTAGAAACTTGCAGAAGTTTTTATGATTTGAATTTTGTCTTTTTGATTTGAGTTCTTAAAGTGGCATCAATATCCTGCATACTCCTCTTGAATCTAAATAATGGAGATTCTTGAAGATACTTAGTGTGTGAAAGCATATGGAAACGCTTTACTTTTGTAAAAAAGGTGCATGGGCAATTATTTTGATACTATTTGTACAGGATATGTACAGATTTTCAGCATAAATGGGTCATAATTGGACAATTGGGCTCTACAGTACATCTATCTATCTATCTATCTATCTATCTATCTATCTATCTATCTATCTATCTATCTATCTATCTATCTATTTAATCTATCTATCTATCTGCCCTAATACATTTTTAGACACTGAATATATGTAAAATTATCCATAAAAGCCCAATGGGCCAAAGTTCCAAAGGCACTTATGCATCTTTGTAAATTTTTTTAATGCCATTTTACTGCTGCATTACCTGCCGTGTGGTAATAGAAATGTGGAAAATAAAAGAGAACGTGATGGTGCTTTCATTTTGCTTTCAGCTGTAATAGTTAAAATCATATACTATTTCTCTGGAAAAATAGATAAAAGAACCCCACTGAGCAATGTAACATTGTTTAGTTTATTTTGACAAGCTCTTGAGAGCAATTTCACTTAATACATGGTACCATATAATGTCTTGGCTTAGTCTGGACTGTGGGAGAGTGAAGCACGAACTCAGGCATAACTCAGTGACCATTGTTTTCAGTGTAGAAAATACACAGGCACATCTGACTTATAACCAAAGTTAGGAGCTAGTGACACTTGGCATGTGAAAAATCACTGTTTAACTTGGTGCCAGTTTCTGCTAAACTTTCCCAATGTATTTTTGTCTTGGTCTGAGCACTTTCGACTGTTCAAGGAGAAAGGTTGCCCTCAGCAGAGAACTGAATCAACTGTTCAAAGGGTGTTTTTCCCCTAATAAAACTGTACAGCACTTTTACATGAATTTAGTGTTTGTGAAAGGCCACTGACAGCCCACGGAGCAGAGGCTCTAAGTTTGTTCACAGTGCAGACAGGGGTGGTAGCAGCATTCCTGCCCTTCCATACTCACACATGTTCTTCACAGCCCAAACATGATTACCTATGGTGGATAAAAGATTGATGTGGTCTCTGATGCTCTTCTGTTATTTGGTTTTCATCTGGCCAGATTCTAACTGGGGAGAGGTTTCGTGGTGTGGATGCCTGCACATAACCTTTCTCTTCACAAGATATACAATAACTTCTACCAGATAGTCTTCTTTTATTTTAAACCAGTTGGATTTGCACCAGTAATTTCAAGTGAGCAAAACATCTTTAATTTAATCCAGCTCTTTAGTTCAGCTGAAATGTCATGATTAAAACAGTGGAGGAAATGTCCTTACATAATAGAACTAGAATAGAAATGCTTATGTTGGCATCACCAATAGTAACACAAAGTGTAAGGGTAAATTTGTATTAAAATCAGAAGCTGCATGCAGTGTATTCAAATTTTATAGCTCCAGACAGCACAGATGTTAGAGACAAGGAGCCCTGCCAGGATTACTTGGACTGCACATACACGCTTGCATTAGCTGGACAGACTGTCCCACTGAAGCCAGCCTGATCTGAGGAGGTCACATCACCCATTTCCTCCAAAAGAAGAGAAGGTTGGCTGTGTACAGAGAGCATCCCAATGCTGGGAGTGATGTCAAGGGATAGGGGAAAAAAGACATCAGCACCACCACAGGGTGAGGAAGGTTGTAGGGGACCAAGCAGACCCAACACCCTGGGATCAGCAGAAAAAGAGTCTCAAGCATTCTGGGCAGTCTTAGGCAAGAAAATCAGTATGAAGGTGGTTCAGCAAAGACAAAGTACCTCTAGGTATAAAAATTAGCACAGCTCTGAGTATCCACAACAACTTTTTTATAGATATCTTGAAGTTTAAGCATTTTTCAATGTGTATGATGCAAATTATGGCTGAATTTTTTGGACCGAAACACTTAGGCATGGAAAAAGCACTTCTCGTCTGGAATTGGCATTTACTGGAGCTTGGAGGAATACTTTGTAAGGAAAAAAAAAATCCCTAAACCTCTTACTATTAGTGTGAGTAATATAAAGATTACCGGCTCTCTTGAGGAACTGTCGCATTGTGAACTGAGATTAAATGCCTCACAGTATTTTCCTGGTGATTCAACTGTGAGGGACTTGACTCTTCATTACTAATTTCCCTTAAAGAATCATTAAAAACTATTAGACTTCAATGAATTGGAGGTTGGATTCAGTACAACTGACTATGTTTAAAATTAAACGCAACAATTAGATGATAAAACACTTATTTTGCAAGAGAGTTGTATTTTGTTATGATGTTATTTCAATGTATACACAAAAATATGGCTGAAATACAACTACATGTAAATAACAATCCCTTAGCTTTGCATCATCATCAGTGACTTTTGAAGCCTCTGTGCCATGTATTGTCCTTGGAACAGTGTCACTGAGATGACAGAGAACTCTCATAAATATGGGCCACCTAAAAAAAGGGTCGCTCCTAAGCTCTCATTGTGCTTTTGCTCCCCAAAGGGACGCTCAGATGTGTTAGGGCCAGCAAAAACTCCCTGTGCACTACTTACAGTCTCAAAATAGAGCTTATGCTGCATATAAGTGGCTCCAAAGACTTTTTCTGTCCCTCTGTGCTGGGATGACTGCAGCGCAGCACGCGTGCAATGACTGCATCCTGATGAGGAGTGCTGTCATCTGATGCTAAATGACAAGGGTGCAAACCAAACACAGGAAGGTCTTTGCCTGCTGCAACAGCTGCTCCCACTGCTAATTGATGCTGTGTATCTGTGGCATCATCCCAGTGCTTATTTTAGGCTGTTTCCAGCTGTGAAGGTTTTTGTCTCACAGCTAGTGGTATCGGTGCAGCTGGCAGAGGGAGGTAAAAATAAACACAACTAATTCAGCAAAGCAATGAGAAAAAATGTACAAAGAAATGTAAAAATAATATAAGTCAAGGTTATTTTGGAGAGACATCTGAGTTTGAGTGGAGAGTGACTGATCTGGCATGGAAAAGGGTTGATCACCTGCCTGTGACTATCAAGAAAAGTGGAAGATTTTAATGTGAATTTGTGACTTATTGAATTTGTTGGATGACAAAATTTTCCAAAGACCAAGATCTGATGGTGATATTGACAGTTCCTTTACAATGGCCTACACATATGCCTAAACATTTACTGCGAGTGAGGCATTTTGAAGAATGAGAATATATTTATTCGTATATTATTTTAATGAGCTCCTTGCCTCTTTCCTGAGTAACAGTTAAGCAACTACTGCTAATTAGAGACATTCCCCCCCCCCCCTTTTAATTTGAGTAGTTAATCTTAAGAAATAAAATTTGTAGCATCAAACTTGCAAAAACCTACTCCCGGGGTATTCTGTTTATGTGCTTCTAATTAGCTTACCAGCTGGTCAAAACAGCTATAAATATGGGTAACCACTAGCATTTTAGACCTCATTAAACATGTGAATGTATGTAGTTCGGAAATTTGTCTTGAACTTTAGTGACAAGAAACATAAATACTTACACGGTTATTCCAAGTATATGTTTCCTGGTTTAAGTTTCAATTAAATCTAGGGAGTTTCCCTCCTTAAAATAGAATTGGATTGATTTTATTTCAGTAACTTTTCCCAGAAATATTTGTATTTCTAAAAAATGCTTGTAGTTGGCTACTGTTTTGTGAAAAATGTAGGTCATATGTTTGTTAATGCCAAAACCATTATGCTGTTTCATTAACATAGGAAATGAATTCTAATTTTCCAGAGGGAAATATATCAACTAAAGTTTTGCCTCAGAGTAATAGATATACCACCACCAGCAGTACATCGCTTTCATGGGTGGGGAGCCTGCTTTAACAGTGCCAGATCATAGCCTGAAAATGCTGACCTCTGTTCATTTTAAATATGGAACAAATTTCTTCTTGCCAGAACTTAGGAAGTGGCATTCCCAGGTCAGTCACATTATCTAGAATGCAAATGCGTTCTACTTACAGTGGTGAGACATGAACTAACAGAAAGTAAAATAAATGAACTTTACTTAATTTTATCAAGTTGCTTTATTTGATAATCTTTCTCAGCTATTCTATTTACAATATCATTAAGTGTTTTCTTAATGCATTCTGATCTCTTTCGTAAGGAGAAATGCTACCTAGAAACACAGAAACAAACATTGCAACAGAAAAGCAGCAAGTTCCTAAAATAATATTTAGTTAATCTGCAATAACAGAGAAGTTCCTACTTGATCTTTTTGTTTCAGGATATCCATTTTCTAAAGTTTCCTGTAAGTTTGGATATTTCCAGTCATGTAGAGACATATTAATATTGTTATATGGCAGTGGAATATGATATGAAATCCTATCTCTTTATATAAGCAGTTTGTCCAGCATCACCACATTTATATTGATGAATTTAATATAAACATTGACAATTGATATTGATTCATATATTGATAAGTTTAATAAAATATTTCAAAGTAGCTAAAATTCATTTAAGTTTAATATTCCGCCACAGTGGAATAGTATTAAGTAAGAAAGAAATTTGTCACCCTTCACTCAAAGGAACACTTTAATGCTCTTCTTTAGGAACAGCTCAACTACAGATATGTGAGTAAATTAGGAGAAGTTTTGTATCTGCTCTTATCTCATATTCAAACATCTTCAGTACAAAAAAAACCTCAAAACTATCCTTTTTTTTAGTTTTACAGAAAAGTATGAGTGAAGCTCATTATAAATGGATTTACACCCAAGAAATCCTGGCTGATAATGGGACTTCTTCTCTTGAGAAAAGTGTCCAGTTGTTAAACTTTCAAAGACATCTATTAAAAAAATTGGTTTGCTCTGAACTCGTGATTTTGTTCAGACCATTATTTTGAAATGTGTGCATTTACAAAAAAAAAAAACAAAAAAACCAAAAAACCAAACCAAACCAAAAAAAACCAAAACAAGCCAGAGGATACATGATATCTGTCCATTGCTAGAGGAGGTCTTGTCATTAATGCTGCTGAGACAAGGATTTTATTCGGTGAGTTTGCATTTTGCTTTAGGGTGGGGCTGTACAGTTGAGACCTCACATAAGGATGCAGCTGCTGTAAAAGTCACTTGCTGCCTGCCAGTCTGCTGTTTTGCAGCCTGAGAGAAACAACAGTGCCAATACAACCAGAAAAGCATCTGAGTGTAATTTACACAATTCCTTAAACTCTAACTTCTCTTCACAGTGTGGCCCCAAATTCTGTATCTGATGAGGCTGCAATGCAGCTTATGCCAGATAGCCAAAATAAAACAGGGAGATAATCCAAATTTTTGCCCACAAGCCTGAAGTTGTCGCAGTGGAATGAGTGTTGCTGAACAAGAGGTCTCCTCATTGCTGAAACACTATCCTTAATGCATCCCCTCTCTAATACAATCACTCAGAATGATTTCCATGGATGTTCTACCTAAAGGGACAGTGACCCAGGGAGAAAAAAAGCCTAAGAGTTAAGGAGAAGAAAACTTCCTTGGATAAATAAGAATCAATGATTTTTTTTTTATTTTTTAGAACTTTTTTTTTTTTTTTTTTTTTTCCCCCAGAGTATCCCATTATCCCATTGCTTTTATCAAGCCACCTAGGTAGATTCTTGAATCCATGTCCTGGAAAGGAGGCATAAACCTGCTGCCTGAGATGTCTTAAGAGCTTGATCAAGCAGTGAGGTAAGTGCCTTTTACTACATGGAAACTAGAAGGTCAGAAGGGGAAAAAGTACTGACAAGATGGTGATTATGAGCATTAATCATAATAATATCAAAGTCTTATATAGCACTTTTCATCAGATTTTAAAGCACTGTAAAAAAGAAATGAGTCTCATTATGTCCATATTTTAGATCTAAAATGTGACCTCCTGTACATTAAGGTTTGTTCTTTAAAGGGAAAAAAAAAAGACTTCTGGAATCAACAACACTCATTCTTTGTTAAATTTCTAATCATCACAGTGAATGTTTTTAAATCTACTTTTTCTACTTTTTTTTTGTGTAAGGGAATTTTAATTGCTTTACTTTAACTTGATCTAGAACTAATGAATAAATATATTTTTTATCAGGATGCTGCCATCAGCTGATTGAACCAGTATATTGACATTTGCAGGACAAATTCAGAAAATTCTGTTAACACGTTCAATGATGTTGCTGGTTACTGCTTCATTTGTTGGGGATTGGTAACTGGATATCTGCATGTTGCAATACACAGTAAAATGGATCAGCTTAAACCACCTCCTGTCAGCCTTCAGGAAGCAAAGACAGAAAGCATCTCCTAGGATTCCTAGGACTGATGCCACTCCTGAGCAGTGGCCCTGGCCCTTGGTTTGTGATGTCATATATTATGGAATATCTCTTTGGAAATTTTGGGTCTGCTGTCCTGGCTTTGTCTCCTCTCAGTTTCTTGTGTCCCTCCAGCTGATTCACTGTTGGGGAGGTGTGAGAAGCTGAGAAGTCCTTGACTTCGCATAAACACTGCTTAGCAACAGCTGAAACAGTGTTTTAATCATTATTATCTTCATACTAAATCCAAAAAAACACAGCACTGTACTACTAGCTATTAGAAAGAAAATTAACTCCATCCCATCTGAAACTGGACAACAAGGCAAATGGAGCACTACCATTGTGGTATCTTTTGGTTTGGTTAATAAAATAACAATACAATTGTTAATAAAATAGGTAAGGCTTGCATTACTGAAGAGAACTGGGATGTCCTCCAGATGGACAAGTCAGAAATTACTCAGCTGCAATTCTTATCTTGAAATCTTTTTGTTGCTTAAGTAACTATGAAAATAAATGCTGAACATACAGGTGTAGCAGAAATTTTGGGCTTCGGAGGAAGGTTTGAAAAAAATGCTGATTTCATCAGGAGCACATAGCCAACAGATTTCATGCTGCTATTCTCCCTTGAGGGCCATAGTTCCATATTCCATAGCAGGAAAGTGTCTCTAAAGAGATGTGAATCACAGCCTGTTCCATCACAGTGTGACAAATGAGTGATGTCAGATTCCCTGCTTGAATGTAAATGCACAACAGTGAGTGCAGCTCCCTGCTTTAACTGCTGAGGGTGGAAACTCACCCTTATGGAGGCTGGTACTTCCCTGTTGAGCCCATTCTCTCTGAGCACTCCTTGAAGGATGACAGATATGGCATCTCTTCTGACTTCACCTGTTGCTCCCTCCTTTTACTCTCTTTCAGATGGCAAAATGTCTCTTGAGCTGCCCCTCTGCTATTCCTTCTGCTCTCATGCTTGTCTCTTGGGAAAGCAAGTGCTGAGGACAGATGCTGCTTTCTCCTTTTATTACTATTGCACCTCTTTGCACAGTCTTATGATACACCAAAAGTTACAGTTCATAAGCGGATACATATGAAAATATTATAGCTACATGTTCTCCATTCATTAATTTAACCAAAATTGACTTTGCCCCCATTTCATTGGTGTTACCATACAGCAACATGGTGAGAATTAACAGCTGTGAATATTTAACAACCACTTTTCTAAGATCCTGGTCATTAGGTCAGAATGCCATGTTGTCTTAATCAGTTTGGTGTTCCTCCTCTTTTCTTTTCTGATCTGAATGGCCATTACAGGGTAAGTAAGCATTCTGCTTTGTCACTGTCCCAGTACAGCAAATTATGTTCTTGTTATGCATCACATTGCTAAGTTTTGTGAATGGATAACATTGATTAAAATCTATTTAGCAAGTAAGACACAATTTATGAATGCAGTAAGCGTATTCTGGAGGGAGTTTAGTTTTTCTTTTTCCCGATCACTGGATAAAATACATTAAAGAATATTAATTCTGCTGTGGTGGAATACTTTGACAAGATGCTGAAATCCTTGCATCTAAGACAAAGGTACAGCTATATTTACAGCAGTAAAATAAAGATTAACATGCACTCAGAGAATTAGGTCTGAAGGACAGGATGTTCACCTGCTTGACTCATTTTGTTTGCTAAACCCATTTAATTGTAGACTTAAATACTGAAGAAATGTGCAGTGCACATGCATCTCAGATAACTCTGGGAAAAAAATAGTATAACATTTTCAAGTCTGAAATTGAAAGTCAGGCTTTTTCAGATGAGCAGATTTGGAAATGTCCCTCATTTTCCCACAGAAATCCTTCCTGGACCTGGTCAAGACTAGACATATTTAACTTGGTGATATACAGGCTGAATATGTTAAAGGAAGTTATTGAAACAACTGTAACTAATGCCACAACAGGTTGTGAGCACAAGAGAAAAAACTAAAATTATTAGTACATGTGTTGGAATTTCTGTTAAAAATTACCTTTTAAATGACTGAAATAGCTAGATAAAATTTGGAAAAGAAAACTCCACAAGAAACAGTCTGAGTACCCTGCAGCATCCAAAATTGTTTTCCTACTATTTCTTCCTTTATTTGCCAAATAAGGAAATCATCAATGAGTGCTATATTTTCTTCCAAAATTGTTTTGAAAAATTCCTTTTTAAGACAAAATTTATGAGAAACAAGTGTATTTCTTGAAAATATACTGGTGTACAATAAAGATTTTCTAGTTTGTTTTTTTTTTCTCATTTCTGTTCATTACAGGGTTCCTTGTAGCAGACAACAGACTAGGAAAATGCCTGATTGCTTTTGTAATGTTTGGGAAAACCAGGTAGATTGCTTTTCTGTGTGCTCAAGAAATGCAATGCAAGTTTTAACACCACTAAAACCCCCTTGTGACAGTCAATGTTTTTCTTGAGACTGTGCCTGAGTACCCCAGTTAATTCACTCCAATTGATACTACATTTTACCTTTCTACATCTTCTCTCCAGTTGTAATCAGCTGCTTTGCAATCACTTGTTTCAAAGTGAAAGAGATGTAACATTCTTTTATTAACATTAATTAATTTATTTGTCACTGTGTGCTGCCATTCCAAACACCAGCAAAATGCACGTCAGGGCCACAGGGGTATTTTGGGGGTTCTTCAAAAGAGGAAAGATGATGGTAGGCATTGGAAAATGTTTTATTGTAAGCCTTACTAAAAACATTTGCAAACTAAACCAAATAACAGAAACCTACTGTATTGCACAGCTGACCATATGAAAATCAAATGTGAATAAAATTGTTTTGAAAACTCCAGTTCACAGAAGGAAGTGTAGTGTAGTATAGAAGTTGTCAGGGAAAAAAAACCAACTATACAGGGTTTCTCCATACTCCAGCTGCACTGAGAAACATTGTGTGGTGAAGGGGTTAAACCAGGCAGCCCTACCACAACAGGGATATTTTGTCATATAACAACAAAGCATTATACTGCTATATTTAAAGGGCTTAAATGGAGGATCAAGACATCCCATCATCTTTGGTTCTGTGGAAGAATGGAATAGAACCTGAAACAGAAAGCAGTCTTGTATGTGGGGGACTTGACAAGTTTGTTTCTGTGTTATTCAGTCAATTTTTGCTGTCATTCTTCAGCATAGCTCTTGAATCCATTCAACCTCTAATAGCATGAGAGACTCTTTATTCACTGAGGAGATGTTGATTAATCAAATTATGCAAGGAGCTGTCTGAATTTTCTTTTTAGAATTCAAATACTCCAATGCAATTATTCTGTGAAAAAATTTGCACATTTTCACTGGCACTGATCACTGCTGTGGCTGATGTGCTCTGATAAAGTCCAGTGTTTCTGGGAATATACTTGGGTTTAAAGTACCAGCTTTTCTAATGATCAATAAGGATTTGAAATCTCATAGTCCTCACACCAAGATTTTTTTTGAGGATTAACCTGAAATAAACTATAATCATGTCAACTCTTCTAGTATTTTTGATGTCATACATTGTGTTGGAGTTTGCACCCTGGAGTGCCAGGCCAGCCAGGAACATGGAGTTAAGCTAACCAAAGTGGTGCTGCCTTTGACTAGAGCTTGGCAGACCTGGAGAGACCTGGTGAGGATCAGCTGACTGAGGAGTCACTAGGGGAGGTGCTGGGGGTCTGGCTGTGCCAAAAGGTGCAAGCATCCCCTGCACTCCCATCTGCCTGCCCTGGGATGACTGACTGGGCTATCTGAAGGCCTCTCAATTAGCACTAGTCTCCTACATTTAGGTAGCTGGCTGGTGCCCACTGTGTTCCCCATTATTCATGATCAGACCTTTGATTGTGTGTATCCACTTAAAGGAGCAGCAGAAAGTGGCTAAAATATTAATCAGATAATAGTTCTGCTTTAGTTAATTTAAGAAAATGAGCGGAAAGCAAAAATATAGAAAGTGGAGTACATGCAGTGCTTACTTTATATGCTGCTTTTTTTTTTTTTTTAAGAGAGAAACCAAGTCTGGCATGTTTCCATTTTTCTGTTGTTATGCATGATGACATTCTGAACTTTTCAATGGAAGAGAGAGGAACATATTTGAAGTATTTTTGTTAGAGTCCAGTACCAATACAAATATAATGCAACCATGTTGAATAGTATTTCAGTGCTCTATGTTTTATGGAGAATTTTGGGGTGGTTTTTTTTGTTCATTCGGTTTCTTACATTCATATGTTTAATGCAATGTCAATAAGTAAACCCCTTTCTCTTTATAATCTCCACAGTGTGAGAGAAAAATACCCTGTAGGCATTTTGTTGAATTTATGAGATTATTAAACAAATAGACAAATACCAGACTACCAGTAGCAGTCTAGGAAAACAGATAGCCAAAAATGGGCAATTTCCACTCCATAAGAAATTCAGATGTTTTGAAATTTGTTTTTGTATCTAACACTCTAATACTAAACAAAAAAATGATGGTTGTTTTTTTTTTTGGGTTAAATATTACTCTATATATTTCTGAAGTTTTCAAGTGCTCCTGCTCTGTATACCTTGACTGGTTGTGCTGCTCACAGAGCTGGGCTTCGCTGGACATCTCCAGAGAAATGTAACCCAATTGCTGGAAGTCCCCTCTCTGAAGGGATGCAGGGGCTACAAGCAGGTACCCATCCTTCCTGTGAAGCACAGTGGTAACTGAGACAGAGGCACAGATGCCTATTCAATGTGAAACACAATGTTTATGAAGAAACAAAACAAGGAACCTGGGTATTTTGAC